CTCATGACATCTCCCTCCATACACGAACTTGCCATTAACACCCTGTCCCAGTACGGAATGCGTTGTCCGTAGACGTACGACTCGACTGCTGCAATCTAGTGTAGCAGACTTTGCTCTTTCTTATCGTTATATGTCCATGAAACTTTGACCTTTATTTTTCGTACATCTGTATCCTTATCTTTTCGCAGCACTCCCTTCCCTTTCTTATCATCTCCTCCGTCTCCGTCTCCATCTCCACGTCCTCCTCCGCCGCTGCCCCGGACTATCTTCTCAATTACGACCGGAGTAAAGGTCTGTGTGATGTGATTGTCTAATATAGGATTGTATATGCAGATCGACATCTTTGGCGGACTTCTGCAGAAAGGTATTCCAGACTCCCTCAAACTCATATTGGTGAGTTTCAACCTTTTGCAGCGGTCTACTTATTGCCGCCACCTCTTGCTTTGTGTGAAGGACTGTTTCGGTTAAGAGGGAAAGTTTTTCTTCCGTTGCTGCTTGCTTGTCTTTTTGGTCTTGCAGCTCTTTATGCAATCTTACACCCTCTACTTGCAGCCTTTTTCTTTCATCCAATTCCTGCCACTTTGCTGCTAACATTTTGCTATGAAGTTCGGCACGTTTTTCCTCAAGCAATAAATCTTTTTCTGTTTGGTCTGCAATGGATGCCAACTTTGCAAGAAATACATCTCTTTCTTCCTCTGTCTCTTCTACACGATCGCTGGAGTATGCATATAGGTCATACCAGTCCAGCGGCTTGACCTCAAGTCCTCCACTTGGCTGACTAGTCTCACCTCTTTCTGCCCGCCGCCTGATGAGCCTGTCATCGGCGGACTCATCCTCTTCTTCTATCGTCTGCAGTTCCTCCTTCAATTCTCTTTTTAACTTTTCTCTCATTTCTCTCCTCATTCTCTCTTCTTCTACCTGCACTTTCTTCTTTATTTCTTCTTCTTTTTGTTTTTTTCTTTCTTCTTTTTCTTTCTTCTTTTCTGTCTGCCGACGATCGATCTCAGCCTGTTCTGCAGGCGTGGGGCCTGGCTTCGTCATCCTGACCGCATCATCATACGGGACGAGCATATTCTCCCAAACCCCAGAGGAAAGAAGATTCTGAAGAGGGGACCCAATAAGACAGAAAGGGCCAGAATTCCCTGCATGGGAAAGTCATCCATGGTGGCTGACGGCACAGGTGGTCCTCCGCCGCTCCACCAAGATACTTCCCTCAGGTGCCACTAGACAGTCTGAAGTGGATGAGATACTATACTTGCTTTTTTTTTTTTTTTTTTCGGACTCTGAGAATCGCTGATTTCACAATAACGAATTAAAAAAAATAAAAAACTTAAGTAGAACTTCTCTTTTTTTTTTTTTTACACGCTGCTGGTCTCCTTCTTAATTGGCACCTTTCTTTCTTTCTTGCTGATCTGAATGTCTTCTTTTTCCTTTTATTAATACTAACTGTCTGTCTTCTTGCGCAGGGGTACTGGAGTGTATACTTGTCAGATGCCTGGACAATGCTGTATCACACTACTACTACTGCCCAGATTAGACCTTATATTGCGATTGCTATCTGACATGGCAATCAGTCACTACAACCAGTGTTCCCCCCCACCTTTACTACCTCCTACAGATGACAACTTAGAGGGGTAGAAGAGAAAACCACCAGGACTCTGACCACTACTACGAGTGTGTGACCAGACCTTGGGTAGACAGCAGCAGCAGCGACCACCAGAGAGGGGAAGAAGTAGAGATCACACGCACATAGCCAGGTAAGGGGAGTGGAGGTTCTTCTCTCTTTGAAGCGGCCGTCGATGAAGCTCCTCGTCGCTCCGCACTCCAGTGCTCCAGGTAAGTAATCTTCTGCCCCTTCCTCTTCGGCTTACTTCTCGCCAAGATCCCAATCCACCTCTCTCACAACTCTACCATCGCCAGGATCATCATCAAGCCAGCGTTCCCTTCTTCTTCTCGCCGGCCTTGCTTATGCCAGCGCAGTGAGTGCAACAAGCTTCTGCTCCGATACCAAGTTTGCAAGGGTCCTGACTGACCACGTCTTGCCAGAGTGTATCACAATGGATGCAATGTCACCATTCACACAGATTATGACTCAACACACACAACGCAGAATGGGGATGAGATGAGAACCAAGTCGCGCAGCTTATATTATCTCGAATACATAATATAAAGAGTATCTCAAGTTCATGAATCCAAGCGCTCAACAATCATGATATGTCCCTCTCTCGAACATCAGCACAATGGGGCCTGGCTGAGCCAGCGCCAACCTCTCAGCAACTTGTCAAGCGCAAAACAGGTAAGTAGTTACCATAGCCAACTCGTCAACCTCTCTTACTTCTCTCTCTCCTTCCTCAAGATCTCAGTCTCGGTCCTCTTCTCTCATCATGCATGCTCACTACTACTTCGAGAATCTGCTCTGAATGCTACTCACTGTAGACTAACAGCTAACCCTATAACTATGCTACTTGGCTGGTGCAGCTATGGCTGCCTCTTGCAAGCCAGCGCCCAGCTCCTTCTTCCTTCCAGCGCAGCTTCACCTCCAGCGCTAACCCAGCTAGCCAGCGCACAAGTGCACGCAGCACTTCCACGCTGATAATGCCAGTGGGGATCTGATGTCAAGGGAGGCTGGCCTATTGTTTTATACTGCTGGCCTCCCCTGGCGAGGTCTGCATTGGTCTGTATT